AACAATTCTACTTCGAGAAATTCACCCTGAAGACACACTTCCAACAGTACAAAAATACATGGCACAAGGCTACTTCTGTGGAGTTTGCGATTACAAGTGACTGGAAAGCAAACTCGAACGCCCACACAACAGGAATGGTGTTCGATGACCTGCAGTGCATCCACACAATGGAGTTCTCAATAAAACAGAATAAGGAAGATTTCTATGAACCAATGGGGTGTGATTTCCAGGATATTTTGTTAAGTGAAAAAAATGAAGTACAGAGGAGTACCTCTAGTATGATAGCTTTGAAGTAACAAACAAGGGTAATAAAAAATATACATTTGTTTGTTCATTTGTTCAAAGAAACAGAGAGGGCACAAGTGGGAATGGGATGGAGAGAATTATGAGAGAAGGGAATGACATTTTTGTGAAGAGAGTTCTTTGTATAATCCTGACTTTTGTAACCATGTTAGTATCTCATATACTTAAGAAAAAAAACCCCACAAGAATGGGAGGAAAAGCCCAATACTGAATACAAGCACAACAAAATAACTGAATTCCAAATGAATAATGTAACTACACTAAAGAGGGTATAAAAAGAGCCCAGAGTGTGCCTGCCTGGTTTGCTAGCTACCGACTCTCCCCAGGAAGAGCCTTTGGTTCACTTCGCAGTAACGACACCACGTTGCCTTCTGCTACTGCCCTGGCTTTGCTTCGAGAGGGAGAGGACGTGCTGACCAGTTCAATCTCCTGACAGTTTCAGTTCTCAAATTAACAGTCTGGCATATGTGTGTGTGTGTGTGTGTGTGTGTGTGTGTGTGTGAGAGAGAGAGAGAGAGAGAGAGAGAGAGAGAGAGAGAGAGAGACACTTGAGAATTTGGACAATAGGAGTCTAACTCCAAAGGCTTTACCACCTCTGAACAGAGATAACTATACTGCCTGCTGGTTGAAGGATTAAAGAAGACAGTGTTTGCAAAGTGTCCATTATATCTAAAGTAACCTCAGAGCGTGGGATGTGGAACAATCGAACCCCACTACCCCCACTCTATGCTTCTCTCCTTTGGGGGAGAGATGGGGTGGGGGAGAACAGGACTGCATTTGTACCACTGTGCTATATAAATTTTAAGTCACCTCTCATGCATTCTTAAAGCACTAATTTAATAAAACGTATGCTTGAAAAAAAAAAAAAGAACCCAGATAACTTCTGGACACGGTGCATGGACTTTATGCCAGCCTTCAGGTTAAAGACGAGAACTCTAAACATACACTGTGCTCAAATTTGTAGGACTTTTCTTTTCAAAGACAATGAGTTAGCAATTTTGAAACCACTTTCTTTTCACTATAGGATTTAACAATTTAAGTAACTATATTGATATGGAAGCCAGGTTTCTCATTGTCACTGAGAAGGGAGTTAGAATATGCAGAGGTAAGGGTGGAGAAGAATGAACTACAGGGTGCTGGGCTGGAGTGCGAGGTAATGGGAAGAACTTGTGTATTTTAATGTAAGTAGGTAGCTAGATAAAGAAAAATACATATTGATGTGCGTGGATGTGTACATGCAAGGACATAAACGTGTGTGGTGCATGTGTATGTAGAGGTACACCTGTTTCTGTTGAGATGTCCTAGAAGCAGAGACAACGGAGTATCAATGAGTGCGTCTAGTTCCTGGATCTTGGCTTCTAAGTACCTTTCTTCACCAAAAGAAAATAGAGATCTTTGGAGAAATGGCTGATTCCAGACCTTAAGATGAGGCTGAACATCTTGTGCCACCAAAATAAGGAAACACAGAGAATGCTAGGGACAAAAGGACACAAGGGCCACCCTGCAGGGGCTCCCACTGGACAGATCTGGGACAATTTGAACATTAAAATAAAAAGAGTAGGATTCTAACCTATGGAATACAGAATTTTTGCACCCATACTGATACAGATGGATAAATAGGGTAAAAGGAAAAGTTCATCCTTACAGCCAAAAGCCAAGAAGAAGAAATGATGGAATTATTTCAGAATCACAATCAATCCTGGCAAAAATCACCAATGGACCTAGTGGGTGAAACTGGAGAAACAAGATATTTGTGCAGTTTCAAACTCCCCACAACATACTCACTAATTTAATATTCAGGTTAAAGACGAGAACTCTATTAAACATACACTGTATAATAGTAACTACACATTGAGAAAACCCAGGAGACATCACCGAATGAGATTATCAAAGTCAGTATCACCAGCAGTGGGACTCGTCACCAGCACGGTTCTATCATCCACAAAGGGGGACGCAACATCACTTCTGTGGTATTCTTACCCAAAGTGTGTGGTCTGAACATAGTCATGAGGAAACATCAGACAAACACAAATTAACGGGTGGTCCACAAAATAACCGCTGTACTCTTCAAAAACACCAATGTCATAAACTACAAAGACAGACTCAAATTGCCCCAAATTAAATGTGACTAAAGGGACACAGCACCTGAACGCAATGCATGATCTTAGATTTTCTTTTGCTCTAAGGGACGTTACTGGTATAGCAGGCAAAAATCTAAATGGGAACTGTTTACTAGGCATTACTATTGATTCGATGTTAATTTCCTGATTTTTGATAAAATATACTCTGGCTATATATGGTAATTTGTTGGTATTTTTCCTTAGAAAATATACAGTGGAGTATTAAGGGTAAAGAGCCATGTCTGCAACTTTCTTTTTAAACAGTTCAGGAAAAATCACACATACATCACAGAAAGGGAAACAGAAAACGGAGAGAGAAAGCGAGTGAAGAGGGCTTTTAAGGATTTAAAGGATCCGAGTCGGCTTTCCGCTACTCTGGCAACTTTCCCAGAAATCTGAAATGATGTCAAAATCAAAAAATTTTTTTAAAGCTATATATACTAAGGAGCTGCTTACAGCATTATCTATAATAGTGAAAATATCATTCATTAAACAATCAGTTACTGGCTCTCTTACATCCCAGATGGTACGCTAGACACAAGACACACAACAGCAAACAAGCAAGCCGATCACGCGGCTTAGGGGCCGAGGGCTTCCCTGGGGGCAACACGTGCAGGACTCAAGCTGGGAAAGGTGGTCGCCGCAGCGGGAACTTAACCATGGTGGGGCCACATGGAAATGTTAAAAAAATCAGAGCACAATCATCCAATAATGGCTATTCAAAAGTAGAAAAGTAAAAACTATCATTAACAGGAGAGGATACTTCTTTGTAAGACGTTAAAGAAAGCAGGATGGACATACAGAAAAAATTTAAAGGCAAAATAAAAGTAGTCCTCATAGTGATAGTGTTTTCCTAACAGTTTCCTCTGTTAGATTTTTCAATAATTGAAGAAAAAAAGTCATTCCCCCAAAAAAGTTACCAACATTTCAGAAAATAGTCATAGTTACATCCACATAAATGGGCTTAAGAAAATGTGACTGGTCAATTAGGATCATCAAAAATTGGTAAAACATTTTTAGCTAGTTTTGGTATGTTTACCCTCCTTAAAATTACCTTGTTTCAAATTTTTTTCCGTATTATTAGGAAATCCACAAAGCTACTAGTTCTTAGTGTCTGAACTATTTGGAATTTTTCCTCAAAAAATAGGCACCTTTAGACTTAATGTAATATGACCTCCAGTCTGGGGGAGGTAAAGCCCAGTTCTGATTCACCGCACGATGTCGGTCAAGGCAGACGGTAAGCTCCTCGCAGGGGCAGGTGACCTTTTCGGTGCCCCACACCATGACCACCCATCACCAGCGGTTTGCTTATTAAGCTTAAGTGCTGCAGAGCTATGGTCTCAGATGCTGGTTCTTAACTTGGAATCTGTGGGTTCCTGTGCAATCCACGAATGGCCTTGGTGAGACACAGATTGGTGGGGGTTGTCATTTATGAACCTTCTTATATTTCACTAAAAATTTTAGGCATGTCCATTTTGTGAGAAGAAAAGTTTAGAGCTTTCATCAAATTTTCAGACGTCCAAGACCCAAAAGATGCCAAGAAGTAACTGTTCTAAGTGAACAACCAAACTTGTGAGATTTTTCTAGTAACTTAGAAATTTCAGAATTATATAAAGCCATTTATTTGATTTTTATATCATGGTTAGGTCACAGAGCCAACTTCAAGTGCTATGAATATAAAATATGAGTGAATTAAATCAAATTCCCCAACTCTAAGTTAAATTCAAGCTTCCCTGTGAAACACCACACATGCATCCAAATGATTTACTAGCTCATAATAACCCTGGTGAATAATCACAGAATGCCTTATGCCTTACGTAGCGTTAAAAAATTTCTGATGACAATGCTGAGTTATTTTAAGCTAGGCCAAAAGAAAAAAAATTTCATTTTATAGTGACTGTGTCAAGCACTAAGCTAGGCACTGAGATTCCAAAAAGAATATGCAGATCTTTTGAGAAGCACACTATTGGGAAAGACAGGAGTGTAAAAAATAACACTCACAATATAGGCAGGTGGTCTCCTGGAATGGTAAAGGTGATTTCTACGAAGAATTGATATGTAAGCTGGCGGAGCTGCACTGTCATAAAGAAGCGTAGCTTGGGACGGGCAACACGAAGGGCTGCGGGGATGCTTACGAAGGCATGGAGGGCGCCCTCCTGTGTGAGGAGGGGACGGAGGGGAGACCAGCGAAGGGAAGGTCCGGACTGGAAGTAACCTATGAACTGATGGATGAATCTGGGGTACGTTCCCGAACACAAAAAGCTGCAGCTATTGAAGACTTATAAGGAGAGGAGTGACTTGAAAAAAAGGTGTCATCTCGGGGAACGACGTGGAAAATAAGACTAATGTGGAAAAGATCAAAAGAAGTAAGAAAATCCTTATGTGAAAATATTCTTTTTGACAAAATCAATTATGCCTGTTTTTGTTTGGAGTACAGGTCTCCACAAAAAACTTCTTTAAAAAGCAATACATATCTTTAGTTAGAGCCTCAATTTGCAATTTAGTGGCAGATTCTCATAGAAACCTGTCCTGAGCCCACCGTTTTGCCCGAGCCGCACGGCGGGGGGTGCCGCTTACCTGGAACCGAGAGGTTAGTGGCCCCGGCGCTGCTCAGCGGGAGGACCGGGTTGACCGTCAGGGTGGGCGCGGCACTGCTCGCCACAAGGCTCGGCGTGGTTGCCACCTAGAGGTCAAAAAGGAAAATATGCAAAAGTATTTAAAAATCAAAACTTAAAAAAATCTAAGTGTATTGTAGACTTACTTTGCCTATAATAAATTTTAAATTCCATATACAGTAGAATTAAACTAAAATAAAATTAATTAAAATTAGGATTAAAATAAATTCTCTTACTTTCTCATAAGAGAAATGACTTTATAATAATCATTCTTTGATGCGGGAACTGAGAAGACTGGCCTATATCTAAAGTTTGCTATTGGAAGATGGTTTTTCACTGGTAAGACAAATGGCTGTGCCCAGGTTTTAGAAAAAAAAAATAATAAAAAACACCCCTACATTGTAATAATATTTAGTCAGATATAGTCGAAGGAAAAAACAACATGCGAATCACCAACTTACTCTATTCAAGAAAACTATTCAACAGGATCAGGAAATCTGGGGTCACTGCATTGGTTTTATTTTTTTGACTTTGTGGGGGCAAGACTGTCTTGTTTTTATTTTTAACAATGAGATAACGGAAAGAATATGAAGCAATGTTTAAAAACTGACAGTTTCTTTTTAAATAATATAACATACTTCTATAGTTTTGTAAGATATACTGTTTTCCTTCTAGTATAAATACAAAACAAAAACACCTACATAAAACAAAACTATCTTTTTGATAATTACTACCATGTGCTTTATGGTTAAAGCCCTACCACTTAACAATCATATAGTCTTCACTTAACAAACTAGTATGTGCTCTTAATGATGACTTTAGTTTGAAAAGCTTCTCAGTATAGAATGACATAAAAAATAAATAAAAACAAATTAACAAGAAAGGATTCATCCAAAATGCAAACTCAACAATCTTTCCATCTTTGGAATCCTGCTTGGAAATGTGGTGTCACATTTATAATTACCCTTCAGATCAAGGGAGTCCATGACCACTCTATGCCCCTTCTGTCCAGGAATCCTACTCTAATGTAAACAGCAAGTCACTCAATGACGTCATCCGTGAAAAGCCTACATGTTTGAGAGTGAAGATCTGAGATGATCCTTTTAATACAAGTTCAGAGCTAAATAAAGGTTACCTGGATATTTACTGTCGATTACTCATGTATGTTCAATAATTTGGGCTTTAGGTCCCAACATGAATAAAAAGTAGCTAAATATTTTTCTAGAGAACTGGAAGCAGCAGCAAATTTAGAGTAACCTAATGAACTACACTAGAGCAGAGAAAAATAAAACTGCAGTGAAACAGAAAAGAAAATTGCTCACTTCAAAAAAAGAAAGACAAAAGTTCTTAGGTCAACATGAGAACATGAGATCTGATTACTTTGGTAACACTTATTCAACAAGAATATATATACAATACATTCCTGACCATGATGATAAACTGGTTTCACAGCGCTCGTGTGCCCCTCTCCTTACCCTTACCAGTGAGGCTGGGCTGGGGAAAATTGCTTTGATAGGCGAGCTGCTGGTCCCACCACTGCTTGGCGGGTTGATTCTCTTTTCTTTCTGGCGGCGGTTACAAAACCAAACACGAATCACCTCCTTTTCCATACTGAGCTGATCAGCAATCATGGTGATCTCTTCCGAGGTAGGCTTTTGATTCTGAAGGAGGAAAAAACACCTTTGGGAATAACTTTTTGAACTAGTGACATAACCATGTCATTATAGGAATAAACAGGGAGGACAAGCCAGGAAATGAAGTTGGATAAAACCATATTAGTCCACTTTTAACAAAGAACTTATGTAGATAGATATTCTACTGAACATATTTAACTCATTCTTGAATTTTTTTCATCTTAAGGGCTATTAATCTTGAATAGAATTAATGATCAATACAACTTTACATATTAGTAGGAATTAAAGCATCTTCTCAGTGCTTCATGCGCATTTCACTTGGACCAAGTGAGGCAGGTGGTAAACCTGGGGGGCGGGAAAGGCAGGTATTTTATAGATAAAGGGCTTCAGTTTAAGTAATTCGACCAGTGACATACAGTTAATAAAAGTGGTAGATCTGAGAAAGGCTCCTGATTCAGTGCCCCTGCCATGGGGCTCAAGCCTCTTCTGAATTACAGAAGTCAGAGTTCTGCCGAAGCTTTGACTGTGATATTCTCTGGTACGGAAACATTACCCCGGAGAGCCAAATACCTGTGAGGATGAACTTGCACTCCATAGCCCGGTACTCAAGGCCTTTAGTGTTCCAGCCCCAGACCATTATTCCAGGCCCACCCACACTAGAATCGAGCCAAGTCACACCTCAGCGTTTCCCGAGACGCCTCACAGTTTTCTCTGGGGCCTCTGCTCACGCATTTCCATCCCTCCCTGTCGGTGGGACTCCTGCGTGTCCTGTGTCGGCTGCTGCCTGTCACGCTGAGGGCCCACATGGATGCGAGCCTGTCTCCTGAACCCCGAAGCACCCTGGCTGTTTCCCACGTTTTCTCCAATACGATACAAGCATCCATAAGGGCTGAGGCTGATGGGTCCACCTTTACCTTCTACAGCAGCTAGCACTGGTCCTACCCAGACAACCCACGTGCCTGAGAAACAAAACCCCACTAACCTCCAAGAAACTCTTCTCTAAGGCCACACGGATGTTGGTCTCTATGCTGGTGCGCTTCTTCCTCCTGCGGTTCAAGCCCTCCATTACCATCCCTGAAGAATTCAGGGCACTGGGGCTGGAGATGGCCGAATCAGACGAGAGGTTCTCTGGGAGAAAGATGGCGACACAGGAATCAGCTGAGCGCGATGCATGCACATGATGACGTGTATTAATGACAACAAAACTGACCCAAATAACTTAAGCTACAAGTGAGCACGGAATGAAAGCGTTTTCATAACCTAGGTTAAAAGAGTGTTCGCCGCCACCGATCTTCCCGCTGCTCTTGCTGGCATTCTTTGTCTCAGGCCGGCTGCCTATACTGTCGCCGCTCCACCACTTTTTGATTTGTTTCTGAGAAAGCAGATGTCCACTCCCAGCCTCAGACTCGGCTCTGCTGCTTCTGGTTCTGCCCTTATGTTGTGGCTTTGTCTGTTTGTCTGTCTATTCATTCACTGACTTTGGGGATCTCACGGGGAAAGTTTGGAAATTACTGAATATATCTGTCTTGCAAATGATCTCTCATGTTTTGGTATAATTCAGGGCACCGGCCCTCCCCCAACAAAACAACAGTGAAGCACTTCCAAATGCTTTTAAATTTAAACAAGGTTTTGTCATTTGATAGTTTAACAGCCCTGAGCACACCAGGCATCACTGAGTTTCTTTCCTCTCTACGTAAAATGACGCAGAGGAAGCCGACCAGCGGTTCTCACCTGTGGACTCAGTGAGATCACAGGTGCTGAGGTCTCACCCAGAACTTTGGAATCAGTTTCCCAAGATGGGCGTTACAGATTTACGTCTCCCCAAGGCCTGAGCTTTGTTCCCGGCTACAGTGAGAACCGGTCTAGGGGATATCTCTATGGTTCCTTGGAGCGCGCAGTCTGAGGTTCTGTGATTCAAAATCCACATTTTCCAAAAGGAAACCTCAGCACAAAACATGTAAATGAAAACTAGCAGCTTTACCTCTTATGTCTGAAATATGTGGTCATTTTAATAACAAAAGCAGAAATATTATCCATAATGAGTTTATGGTAATTTGCCAAGGAAGAACCAATGAACTTGCTTTTCGAGTTTATCTAAATACACACAGGCCTTCTCACCCTGTCCCTTCGGCGTCCCTAGCCCTGGCTCAATACAGTCTTCCCGGGCCGAACGTCACCGCTGACTATGGGCGCTGTCGTTACCTGACCACTTAAGCGAATCGGCTTTCTTCCCTATGCAGCTGTAACTACAGCCATCTTTCCAAGACTGGTGAGCCCCGAGGCTCTGTAGTACCAAAAATACAGTAAGAAACACAAACCTGAAGTCAGACAACAGTGCCCCCTGTAAAATTCCAATGGGCCACGAGAAAATTGCATATAAATTCACCCACCTGCATCATTTAGCCACTTCTCCAAAAGTGGCTTTAATTTGCACATGTTCTTAAAGCTGAGGTTCAAGGCTTCAAAGCGAGAGATGGTCGTTTGGCTGAAGTCATTTCCGTACAGTTTACCCATAGCGAGCCCAACATCGCCCTGCAGTCATACAGAGCAGGGAGGGAGGGGGGGAGAGGGGAGACTGACCTCAGTAACGCCCACAGTCCTCACCCTGGGGGGCTGCTCCAGCAGCGCTCCAGACAAGGACTCAACAACCACTCCACTCACTCGGTGCCGCACCGCCAACCGTCCTCAAGCTGGGCACTGTACTCCAGTGTGGACTCTGCTAGTGAGGCCTTGACTGTGACAACACTTGGGGCTGTCCCATACTCCCATACTCTCCCTGTTTGAATCTCTCCTTGTCACCTTATGTAATAATCAGTATATCAGATATTTCCACTAAGTCTCTAGAAAGCATCTCAAAAACAAGCCCCTTAAATGATGTAACCCAAGTGACTTACATAATCTTTACAAATCAGTTTACCTGTATCACCCAGTGTTAATAGGTGTAACTGTACAGATAGACTCATGCATTTCTGATTTAACCACACTTCCAATAAAGCACTTTAAAATCTAAAATTCATGCCTCTTTTTTTTTTTTACCCCTATACAGTATTCCTAGAAGCAGTGAAAAAATCCATTTCCCCCCTTAGTTTGGATTTCAAAGTTGGTTACAAAAAACAGGTGTCCTAAAAGACTACTTTTGTAACCACTAGAGATAGAAGGTCACAGTAGAGAGGTTTGACCCACTTAGTGAAGCCTTCATGCGCATCAGCAACTTGGTAACCTTACCTCAGTAGAACAATGATTCCCTGAATATATTACAGAAGATGTCTTTCTCCAGAAACCTACAACCTTTGAAATGTATCCCTGCTTCTCTTCCAGCTGAATCTCTCTTGTTAAAGCTGGAAAAAGCCGTATCTTAATAGTTACTCTATATACAGGTAACAGAAGCTTATGGAGTTTAAATGATTCAACCCTCATTTCAATTAGTTTAGTGTCAGAGCAGAAAGCACCATTTCTAGTTCAAAGGACTACACAGCTCATTCTACTATTCGCCAACTCTGAACCGTCCTGGCAGCACTTATTTTGAATGGGGATTATCCCAGGTTTCGTGATGTCTGCCCTACAGCTCCTCTTTCAGATGTAGCACCGTTTATTAGCACCAGCATTAGGCAGTATTCAGGGAAGGGAGATTTTTTTTTTAACTTCATTTTCTTACTGGGAGTAACTTTTAATAAAAGTCTAGCAAGGAGAAATGTTGGCACTCTAAAATAAAAGGAGGGACAGAGAGTACCTGAACTTCAACTCATCTGTATCCTGTGTCTTTACATGGGCCAGCTGCCAGACTCATGTGGCTATTTAAGTTAAAATTGATTCAGATCATGGAAATTAAAAACTCAATTCTTCAGCCCCACCAGTCACCTTTTAAATGTTCAACAGCCACGTGCGAGTAGTGACTATCGTATGAACAGCACAAACTTAGAACACTGCCATCATCACAGGACGTCTGTGGACAGCCCTGAGTACACTACCTCTAAGCGGAACAGAAACGGACTGCTTATTGATTTCCTTCTAGTTACAGTAAAACTGAAAGAACCAACTGAAAGAAGAGCAGGGCACAAATGCTATCCATAGATCTATATGCAAGTATATAGATACAGGTTTATCTTTATTGATATCTCTATACATTCAGTATATCTTACTTCAACAGACAAATATTCACTCAGTGCCTACTATGTGTCAGGCTCTAAACATGCTTTGTCTGTTACATATGCTCAGGTCTTGGTCACTTTGTTAAGATTATAGCTTTCTAGAAAACTGGGGCCAACTACAGTTTGCAATTCTTGGAGTATAAGACCTGCTGTACCAGTTAGCTGGCAAATGTTTACTGACCATACCTACATAATTTGCTGCATAATTTTTTACAAACTTCTGCAATACCTTCCTATGAAAAGTAACAACATTGACAAATAAAAAATAAAACAGCTACTCAAAAATCACATCATAGTAAGAATAAGAAACCATGCCTTAGGGTTGGCAGGCTGGAAACAGAGCTATGCCATCAACTAACAGGAACCACGGCAATGAAGGGCAAATCCACTTGACGCTTATAATGAAATTTCACTTCATATTTATTTAGTGAATAAAAAGCAACATGTCCCTCAGTTAACATGCTAATTTTCATTAATTTTTATATGTGCTTGGTTTAGAGGTCTTATAACTACAAATGGATTCTCCTTCACAAAAGCAAATGTTTTAAGCAATTGACTCATATATAATCTGAACTATTTTAAATCCCTTTGAGGTTTTTTAAAAGAATGAAGGGTAAAAAGGAAGAAAGACTGCAGTTGGGATATAACAAATGTCCCACAGGTGATAAAGGTGTTACACTTTCTGATCATGTGATTAAATCTATCATACAATGATACGACATCATTTCATATCACTGGTTAATAACCAATTATGTAATTGGAAAATTATTGTTTCAAATATCTACTGACATATATATTTACCTACAGAATTGGGATTTTTTGCTAGTTTTAATGATAACTTGAATGTCTAACCTCCCCTGTGTGTGTGAATAAACCGAATACTTTGAATATTCACAATTGAGGTGTATGATTTAAAAATAAAGGTTGATTTTCCGATCCTGCACCGTAATACGTGCTTTAATCCACACAGGTTAATTTGTGAAATGTTGCCACTGCTATGTTGAAGGCATTTTGAAAAATAAGGAAGAGTCATGCCAAACAATAGGACAAAACCATAAAGCAGACATCAGGTCACAGGGGGACTCCTTTATATATACAGAAAAAGACACACACAACACTGGCAATATGCTGGGTCAGATGCCAGACAGGCATTTTGGGTGAAAGGTAAAGATTTTATAAAAGCCTTAATATCCTGGGCATATTGCCAGGGCAACAATCTCCTAGGGAACTGAGGAGTATGCTGTGCTAATAGCCTAAAAGCTGAAGCACGGCTAAATAAGGCAACCGTATGCTTATTTAAGCTTATTAACTTACCCCAGCATTCCACCTGGGTCTTTAGCTCTCTTTTTTAAAAACAAGCCAGATCATTTAGCTGTTTCAAAAGTACTGAAGTTTTTCTGAATTATAATTTGTTTCTTCACAACTGAAATTCTTCACAAATACAACTGCTTTTTCTCTAAAACTGTATTTATTTTTAAAAATCATTTTGTATGTTCCTGATACATAATTCATTCCTTTGAGCAANAAAAAAAATTACCTAAGAAATAGAAGGAATAAAAGTCTGCTCTTAAAAACACAGAAAACATCAGGGATGTCATCTCTGGTTTTTGATCTACCAGAACAAGTGATTTATTACTACACTTTCAAAACAAAATAATTTGGAGAATATTTAAGTGGTGGCTACAATTTCAGACTGTATTATTCTCTGGAAAGAAATCATCAGGTTTCTGATTCCACAAAAGCACCCAATTCAATCTATACTTCAGTAATTCTTTTTATCTAATGATCTTGTATCTTTTACATAAATGTCATTCAGTTTAATTCTTTTCCTTCTTTAAAAGTATGTGTGACAGGTTAGTCGAAGAGTCCGTGGCAGTGTTTACAACAAAAATAACATACACCCAGGTGCCTGTTTAAACCATTAAACATATTCCACTTTATAAGCCCTCTGCTAGTTGACATTAAAAAAATTTTGGATTTTCATTAATTTGGATTTTTCACCTTTAGCAGATTCCTATTTAATTAGTTTCAGAGTCTGGGTTTATTTTGGGTGTGTCTCTCTCTGCCGCCCCCTTCTTTCTCCCAAAAGACTATTTTTAAGCAAGTCTTCCATATTTCCTCTTTCAGCTACTCTAAAGACCCTGTACTCTTTACTCTCCATCGTGCATATGCTGCACTAGGTCTAGAACCAGACGTTCTTCAAATAATGAACCTTCACTACAGTTATATTATCCCCAAACAACATCTCTTAAATTTTCGTTATTTATTGGTATAATTTCAGAGGCCTGTGTTCTAAAAGAAATAATAAAGGTTTTAACACTAATTATACATGGACAAATGAATATATATGATACTAGCCTAAACTTGTAAATGCAGGAAACTGTTAAGAAGTTACAGTTTGAAACTAAAAACCAACAAGACAGGAATCTACCACCCCTCAGAAGCCTCTTCAGACTTGCACAGCAAACACTTGGACCCAGCTGAGGAGGAAAATCTAACTTAAGGGTGGGTTCATCTTACCTGAGTGAATCCAAGTTTGATTCGTCTTTGTTTGAAGGTCTTGGCAAACTGCTCAAGCTCCTCAAGGTCACTGGGCTCCTCCAAGCTGGGAGTATCAATTCGCTTTGGTGCTGACTGGCTCTGTGGAAGTGTCTGAATTGGGGTTGCTGCTATCGTGCGTGTTGGGGTTGCTGGCTGTGGAAAGAACAGGAGAGCTGCACACACAAGACACCTCAGTGTGTAACAGCAACATGCCACAAGTCAACCTAAGGTGACGGCTATGTTCAAGGAGAGTCATGACGACCGTGTAATACTGTAGAAGGTGCAACGTACGCTCGGGGAGAAAAAGCAGAGTGTGAAATTATGAATGCTGTAACCATGGTTCGGGTCAGACATGTCAATCTGTGGAAAAACTTGCACACACAAAAATGAAACCCATTACATTTGGATTTTCCAATGTCCTGAATATATGTATTTACACCTTTTAATAATTATTTTAAAGTATCTATTTCCTAAATATGCTACTTAAGCTGTAAGTTTCAAGACTCCAGCGACCATATTTGTCTTACCACTATTGTATTTCCAAGTTGTCATAAGATTAAAACTACTTTAAAGCGGGAAATATAAATCACCTACAGTTTAAATAATCTATATAACAGCTTCACTTTTGTGTATTTTGAGTTTTCTTCCAGAGACTTTTTTTTCCCCCCTTTTCCTGTTTTTAGTTTGCTACAGTTTAATCTGTGAATGTTTCCCTTAAATTATAAGTAATTTTTAGATTTTCAATAACAATGTATGTATCCCAGATCACTTTTTATGATGTGATTAAGATGCTGGAAGGGACCCACCCTTGTGCACAAAATCAAAGCAGTAAACTTTTTAATTGAAGTGACTGACATACAAAAGAGCTGTACAGTTTAATGTATACATCTTGATGAGTCTGAAGGTATCCACTCACATATACTTTGTCACCATATATAATGCCCTAAATGTATCTATTAACCTGCAGAAATTTCCTCCCTCTCCTCAGATCTACATTTTTAACCTTGACTGCAATTACGGTGTGTGTAATTTTATACTCTGCTTTTCTCAACACTAAGGTTCAACTTTTTTTCTATGATGTTTTAGTCTGTATAATTATGATTTTCAAAGCCTGAGTGAGACAATATAATTTATTTAACAATTTCTGCATTGCTAGACTAATACAGGCAACACCACAATGAAAAGCTTTGTGCATACAGTTCTTTGAGATAAATTCACAAGTGCTTTTCTGTACGTGGATAAAGAGAAAGCCATAAACAATTATGGCTTCGCATCCACATCTAGCACTGGCTCTCAGTGTCCAGTGCTAGTTTCTGCCACATGATTGGTGTTAGCAGTTCTTAAAAATGTTTTGCTAATTCAAGGAGTACAATGGTACTTCACTGTTGCCTTAATTTATATTGCTCTTATTACTCAAAGTAAACATTTTCCTGTGTCAATTTTTATCTGTACTTCCTTTTATGTAAATTGGATTTACTTCCATGACCCATTTGTATATTCATGATATCCTTATTCTCATCTTTATCCTTAAAGAGCTCATCAGATGTTATAGATTAAGCCTTTCTGTTGTATTAATGCAAATTTCCCAGTCTGCTTTATTTCCTTTTATTTTTCAATATACATAAGTTTTAAATTGCCAAAAATTTGGGTGAACTTTTCTTTTTCCTTTCTAATATCATTTGTTGCTTCAAATATGAGAAAGCTTCTACTTATTTCTAACTCAGAATTCCCTTTAGGATTGGGAGTTAGAAAGGGAGCAGAATAGAAGGTCCAGTAGACCCGCATATACGTGGCCAACTGATCTGCCCACATATTTCGGTGGGAAAAAGAGTCTTTTCAACAAATGATGCTGAAATAATTCACCATCCATAGACAAAAAAATGAACTGTGATCCTTATTTCACATGATGTACAAAGGTTAATTTGAAATGGGTTGTAGACCTAAATTTCTAGAAGAATACTTAGGGAAATGTCTTTGTGTCCTTGGATAAGGTAGTGACTTAACTAGGACACAAAAAGCACTAACCATAAAAGAAAAAATTGATTAATGGCATACGAATTAAAACCTTCTGTTGAAAGAATCCTTTAAGAGTTATAGACCAGAAGAAAATATTCTTAAAACTTTTATCTGACATATTGAATTTTCTCAAATATGGTAATGTGCTAATATTAAGTGATAACTTCCATGGTAAGAGATAAAGAGAATCAGAGCTGGAAGAGGGATTCAGGATCAGTCGGTTCAACCGCCCAATTTATAGATGAGGAAATGGAGGTTCAGAGAGGTTAGATAACCTGTTCAAAGACACAGGTAGGAAAGAGACAGAACTCAGAGCTTAAACTTCTGGGTGTCTAGACCTGTGCTTTTCATACAGTTGAACTCTGACAGAAATGAGCTAAAGCAACATCTGAAAGTTGAGAGGAAAAAAACAGAGATCAGAGCTTCTTTGCAGTTTCTGAAAAAGAGCAAAGGGCAATATGGGTTCTAACTGAGGTGGTAGGCGTTTTAGTTCAACTGATCTCTACTGTCAACTGCAGGGGAGGGTGGCCCAACACAGAGCTTATCACTGACCTGCTCTAGCACAGTTCTTTACAGACGTTTAACAGGGTCTCCTTTAAGGTTTGCAAAGACGACCTCATTTTGGCATTGTTTTATCAAGCTGATTAGCCTAGTTTTGAATTTTGGCCAGTTTTTTTTAACTACTTGGATCATTTTTATTTGGGTGTTGTGGGTATTTTTTGTTTTTGTGTAATTAAACAAAGCTTGAAAGTCCCACAAATCAGCAGGATAAGAGAAAGTGACCCTCATGGAAGAAAAATGACCTGGGAGGTGAGGGTGATGCTTGGCTGCGGCTGGAGGAGGTTGGCTTGGCTTTGCTGAGGTAGTTGCGTTAAAAGATTTTGCGCTTGCAGGAGACCTGTAAAATACAAACAGTGATGTCAGAAACATGAAAGATTACTTTGAACATATGGCAAAAGAAAGAAGGTGAAGTGAAAATTTCCAACTGATACCCTGATAGTCTTATTGGTCTTAAAACTCTTGATGTCTTATTGGCCTGAAATCCAATCTTGTTAAATACAACTTGGGCAAGGAGCGTTGGGACACTACACTAAAACTGATACATGTCTTCAGTGTAACCTGAATGATAATAACCTTTCTGACTAGCCAATTCTTTTTAAGGAATGGGCACAAATGAAGAAGTATTCTAAGTGGAAGCAGCCTGCAACTCCAAAAAGAGCTCAACTTCTTAACCCAGAATACATGAGAAACTGTATGCTGGGCGAGAGAGCTGTCTTGGTCATAAAAGGAGCTGTCTGCTGTTAAGTGGAATAGGCATTCATACGACAAAAGATTTTGGAACAAATGATCAAGAAGAAAAAGAAATAGTGAGCAACGGGTACTGCTGCACTGACATCCCTCCTGCTGAAGCCTGGACACCCTGACACACGCAAGGCCTCCATGAAGCAACCTTACCAACATGCCTGAGCTTCATCATTCAATACAGAAATTAAAAGGCTGCAAAGATGTCTTTGTAACTCACAAAGTTTGTACAATTTCTAATACAACATTCTCTTCTCAAACTTTAAAATAAAACAAATGACTGATGGAAGCATACACTTTCAATGCTCCACCCATATTCTCTGAATATGTTCTCATGAAAAACTATCAAAATACTAGAAGCAGCTTATCCAGTTTATGTTCAGCATGTTGAAGGATGTCATTCAGACTTCCAGCCAAACTCTTGGGTTCTCCCTAGCGATGAAACACGTGGAAGGAGAAAATGTGGTATGAATGACAAATATTTTTCTCTGACAAGAACACTGAGCCTGCATTGCCTGCAGGTTTAGCCGAGGCTCGTTCTGACAGCGCCCCAGGGGCGGCCGTGCCCGCCTGGGCTCACCCTGCTGGCCCTGCGGCGGCTGTGAGATGATGAACTGCGCCGGCTGCAGGCTGGCGGTCGGGTGCACCAGCACGAACTGCTGCAGGTTCAGGTTCTGCTGCTGAAGATGCTGCAGCTGCTGTAGATCCTGGAAGAAAAGACCAAAGGACGGGTTGGGGATTCTGATTAAAAGCTTGCCTAGGCCTAAGGCTCCCGGCCAAGCAGTGGCCTGTGACATTGCAGCGCGGGCACAATCGTCTTTCCGTGGGCACATGTCACCACTGAGCCAAGCCCCATTTTTTGTAGGTCTGTAAATTTCCCTCAGGACAAATGGTTACTGTTGTGCTTTTTAACATGTGGAGACCGATGTGGGTTTTAAAAATCAAGTGAGAACACTTGACTGATTTCTCTTGTAAAGTAGAACTTGAGGGTGCTATATCTGAATTTGCATCAAAAAATTAAAATATTTATAACAATCATGAAATGTGGCACCAGCCTATAACTCAACTGAGAAATCAGTGTAAAAATTTGATTTTTTAGTAGCCAACCCTATAAAAGTCTGATCCATAACCTCTTAAACATATTGGTCCAGTAGTTTATAATTTTCAATGTGCATTGTCTTATTAGAATAATGCTAACATAGGGTCTCACTAAAAACATTCGTTTAGGGATGAAGAAAAGTGGCCAAAATAAAAACATCTTGATGAAAATTGTACTTACTAGTCATAAAGATCAGTCTGACATCTATTCTTTCCTCGTGTAGTTAAGTTAATCGCTTCTTTTATGTCTTGTCAAACTCAAGCTACAATTTAAGTCCCTTTCTGAGTCTTCCCTGGGGGCATACAGATGACTGTCCAGCACTGGACTCATGGTGACTCTTGATGATTTACTGACATGACCCTTACCTTCCTCCCCTCCCCTTTTAGATAAAGGACCTCCCTTGCCTTTCCTCCTCGCCAGAGGTCTGTGCCTTTCAGTACGCCTGCCCCGTCTGCGGGCACTCTCCCGCACAACATTCCCGTGCAGCTCTGCCCAGAGCGGACCCCTCTGCGGAGGAGGCGACCGGCTCTCCCAGAGCACGAGGGGCACCCCATGCCTGGCGCAGACGGCTAGTTCAACAGTCATCCCCTGCCTCGGAAATATTCAGCTGATCACTCACGAATCGTCACTTGCATGACAGTTATTCAAATCATCAACCGTGCGCCTGGCGCCAACTCCAGCGGGCAGGCTGACGCGCCCCCGCGCCGCTCACTCACCTGCGCGATCTGAATGGGCTGCGACAGCGGGATCTGCGTCATGGGCGTGGCGGCGGAGGCGGAGATGGCGGCCCCGGCGGCGCCGTGCTGCTGGCCGGCCGAGTGCTGCTGCACGGCGGCCGCCAGCAGCTGCGCCTGCGCCTGCGCCTGCTGGAGCAGGAGCTGCTGCTGGGCGGGCGTGAGCGCGAGCTGCGGGGGAAGCACGCACGTCGGCAAGCGCGGTCCGGGACCCGGGCTCGGGCCGCTCCCTCTCCCACCGCGGGCGGGACGCGTACACCGGCGGGGTGGTCCTCCCTCTGCCCCCAAACCGCCGCTCGGGCTCGTCCAGGGCCCTCGGGCCCCAGCAAAAAGTACTTAACTAGTCCGCGGAAAAAAAAGAACTGTTGCTGACAGGATGGGAAAGGAAATTTACACCCAACAGAACAGCAAGTGATTAAGTCAGATGAATGAGCACCAAGGATGCCGGATCTGACCATGGAAGGAGCTGATAAGGCCCAGCTGCTTCCCATTAGCATGACTCCTGCCATATTCCATCATTTCCATTATGCCCTAAAATAGCACTAAAGAATATGAGCTCCGTTTGTTTCTTCTCCAAGGCTCCCTACAGCCCCTCCCTGGCACCGTCTTTTCTGGTGGTGAAAGCACTGGGTCTCTGCAACTTTACATCCTCTTTACAACACATTATCTCTGTGAAACAGGTGGTGACAGCCGCCTCTCTTTACATGCAAATGAATTCTAATACCGAGATTTAACAGACCTCCAGCCACGTGAACCTGGAATCACAAGTGTCTCTTACTATTAGCAGACACTAGTCACCCAAAACAAAAAAACAGGAAACTATTTACAGCAGATTTAAACTTGCTTTCAAATGCAACTTATTTCAAGCACTTAAATAAACGTCTTCTACCTTCCTTTTGGTGATATGTTCTGATCAAACAATAATCATGAAATAATTCTTAAGTACAGAGTCACTTAATGGCACAACCCTCCTTCTAAAAGGGTTCAATACAATTTGTGCATTAGAGGTGTAAGAATCTACCCTTCAGGAGATTCATGTTTATAAATATTTTATACAATATGTAAACAGATATTAATTTCTACCAATGGGATTTTGTAAACCATTTTGTAACAATTCTTAAAACAGCCTTCCAATGCCAAAACATATGTTAAGTGAAATAAAGTAAATAAAATAATTTGTGGGTTGATATGATGTGAATTGATTAACAAATAATAACTCTTCCTTACCACTCCCCAACCGCCCCTCCATCCCCCTGCGCCAAGATAATTTAATAGACAAACTTCAACATTGGAAGAACATTTGAATGGGTGTTTTAGAGCAAAGACAGATTTAAAGTTAAAAGCTTACTATATTCACATAGGCCAACTTCCTACCAATACAAATAAATGACATTTATTGACTGCTAGGTGCCAAGTACTGTTCTAGGAGTTTTACATACACTATTAATCTTCAAAACATACTGAGACAGGTATTGGTAGCATTTCCATTTAGCTGAAGGAAAACCTAGGCACACAGAGATGAAGTAATTCGCCCATATAGTAAATTGCAGAGCCAGGATATGAGACCAGAGGCTTCACTTTAGAACACTGAACAGGAACCTACAGAAAATGTTTTTCTTCTGTGGGTACTAATCCATTCTACTACTACCTGAAGTGATGTCATCACTGCCACACTGACAACTACACTTTTGTTAATGTAATGGCTTCAACCATAGGGTAATAAACCTATGAGATGAATCAATAGCTGAAACGTACATTTTAAGGGTCCTTGGTTTATCTGAAGCATCTGCAATACTAAGAAGATACCCTGAAACTTACGACCAAGATAATTCCTCTTTCAGACCTGCCTACACTGTAGAAGGTTCTTAAAGACCTAATAGCGCCAAGCCCAGCCATGTTACCTGTCTGCTACAGTAAACAGTCTAATCAGGTAATAGCCAATGGCAGTTCTGACACAGAGAAAGTTTATTACGATTCTCTCAGGGAAAACTTACCCCAGTTATCTGTCCTCCAGCCAGCATAAGCTGGGTCTGGGGGATGGCCGCCTGCACTGAAGGCTGCTGGGTAGGCTGGCTGGGCTGCTGTGAATCCCCCGATTCTTCATTAGACTTCGACTGACGTGGAGAGCAGGGTGGGGAATAAGAAATTTCATAGTTCTTTAAAGAAATGTATTTATAACTCCGAATTTTAAGAACTATTTACACCAAGGCCTTATCCAATCATGAGTTTTTTGCTTTCACTCCTCTTCTGTCTTATAAATCTTTGTACTTTCCTAATTTTACATATTAAGTTTCTAGACTTTTTGTTCCAATGCCAGCAGAGCTGCAATTACAAATTTTAAGAAGAAAAAACAGTTCGGTCTTCCACAAGAAAATCGGAATTTCTCAGAAACCCAAATCCTCAATTCTGGAAATGGGGAGGAAGGGAAGAGCACATTTTTAATCTATTCTCCATTCCAACGTTGTGACACATACTTAGCGGTGGTCTGACTGAACCTTCCTTACATATCCTCTCAAAGACTGATTACTTGACCTAGGAACTTTTCATCTAATACTACGAAGAACTGTAAACTTAGCATCTGCCATCATAGGTCAGAAGGAAAACGCGGCAGTCAAGAGGGAAAGAGAACACAGTCTTGAAAGGGGCACCAAGCAAAGATTTTATGGTAATTAAAACTGGTTATGCAGACCATTAAAATTCTGCATAGATTTGCATATTTCCCACCACCTGTTTTGGGGACTGCAGCAAGGCTAATTAACATAAAGGCTCTGATTAATTCTGCCAGTCATTGCGAGATAATTACAGTGCAGGACTGTAAACATTCTGCACTGGAGATCCAGCCTGTTTGCCAACATCTCTCTAAGGGATGAAAGTTTGCCATGGCAACCAAGGCAATTTGCCACCTCCTCTCCCTCAGAAAGGAAGGTCACAGTATCTCCTTTTCTCTTCTCTTGTTTCCATGTGTTACTAGGTCCATATTCCACTGGGTTTCATAGCATGTTCAACCCAAGGTCTTTAGTCATTAGCAACAGTGAAATCAATCTTCAAGAATACTGCTTTTCCCTCTTGACTGTTAGTTTACCTGAACACTACAATGAAAGATGCAGCAGGTCGACTGAAATTTTAAGGAGTAATGCATAATACTTGAACTTTGCATGTTTTGCCATATGGTTTGTAGAAGCAAAGTAGCCAGATTTGTTTGGTTTTTAAAATTTTGATGTATGAAGCCCATCGATGTCTATAAACAGGTTTAATTATAATCCTTAGAATCATAGCACTTTATAGCAGGGAGGAAGCCTGACAATTTTCTAACTTGCCCACTCTATTAGACGGAAGGAAAAGCCCTAGGAGGCTGAGTGACATGCCAAAGGTCACATGGCTCGTCAGTGGCAGCGTGGGAACCCAAACCTGAGACCCCACCTTCGCCTAGTGCTCTTTCCTCCTACACTATGTTTCTCCAAGACATGAAAAACATAAATTAAAAGACAATGGAAACAAAAGGGCATTTAAGATATTATTCAGCTTTGTTTTAGGCACGTGCTACAGCTGTATAACTTCTGATTTTTATTAATGGCAATGATTATCATTATTTGGACCTTTATGAGATTCAGTAATAAAAAAGCAATACTTCTAAGTATTTCCTATTACAAAATTATTACATGCTCACTAAAGAAAATTAGAAAAATATGGGAAAAATAAATAGAAATGTGATGCATAATTCCACATCCCCGCTTACCTGTGCATTTAAAGACTGAGCAGCAGCCTGTAAGCTTGTCCCAGCGAGCTGGACCTACAAGGAAGTTAGGGCAGGTTCTAGGCTAATACTTGGACATCCATTATTAGGGGTTGTTATCAGTAAGCATTTCAAGAGCCTGTATTAAATGTGTGTGACTGAATTAAACTGAGAATACAAAGAGGTTTATCTCATAAGGTCAAAACTTTAGGGTCAAGTTCACAGTCCCACCACTTCCCACTGGAAAATGCTGTTAACATTGCTTTTCTGAAGATGTTTGCCCACACTTAGCATCATTAGGCATGCCACACTTGTAGCAGCCATTCCTTATATAACATTCTGTTCACGTTCATATGACATTTCAATTCTAAAAACTTAATTTATCTTCTACACTGTGTTAAAGAACACAAAGAACAAAGCTACTTATGTACATGTGCACCACTATAAACAACCAGAACTGTCTATTCATTCTAATTTCAAAATTTTCATGTATACATCAGAGTTAAAATCCTACACACACACGCACACACAACTGTACACTCAAGTCCTTAAAACATTTAAGGTAATAAATTAAAACTCATGGCTGAAATAAAGAATCTACCCTAAAAGCTACACATGAAAGTCTGTCATAATATTTAATACTCATTTCATACACTCAAAGTTCAAACCGTAGTTATATTAAAATAAGGACCGGCATTTGGTAACCATGGTAATAACAGATTCAGGCCAGCATCGTCAACGGATGTGCTAACTAATGGGTGACATTTGAGAATAATATGGTATTTAAACATTCTCGACTATCTCTCCATAGATACCTATTAGCTACAAAGGGCAAAACAGTAACTTCATACTGGGGAAACCAGGAAAAACAAGTGATCACAAAGTCTCCACTAATGACACACATGCCTTCTGGTATGAGGCATCAAGAAAAAAGAACACAGCACCCCTCATGTTTGCCCCCTTCCCAAAAGTGTGTAACCTCAATTTAATAGTGATGAAACAGCAGACAAACTCAAACTGAGCAAGACTGTGCAAAATAACTGGTTTATACTCTTCAAAAATGTCAATATCCTGAAATGAAAGAAAGACTGCGTAGGGAAAAATATATATACAAACTAGGGTAGCAGAAATGGAAGTCTGAACCAGAATGGCAGCAGTGGGAATACAAATGTAGGAAACACGGAAGGCATTGCAAGGTACTACGCAGGATCCTGGCAGCTGATTGCATATAGATGAAGGAAAAAATGAATTATTCCAGGTTCAAATCTGGGAGACTAGAAAAAATGGTAGCATCATTAACAAGAAGAAAAGTTCCATTTTGGATCATAGTATCAAGATTTCCTAAAGTTAAACAGAAGTGTTGGTATAGAGTTCAGTACAGAGTTCAGAACTAAAATCAGCTGACTGCTGTCTTTTATTTAAAACTGACAGTCTTGCTAGTAGATAAGAAACCTCAAAATCCAAACCAAACCAAATCACAGCAAACATGAAATGCAGAGACTTAGAACACATTCAGACACAGTGTAATCAAGGGACAACTATGTGAAAAGATAATGTCTAAGACCCAATGACTAAAAGAAGTTAGCCAAAGAGCCAGAGGAAAGAAGTTTTACATATAGAGATTTAAAGGAAATAAAGTTTCTATGTGATTTTATTTAAATCATTATGTTTCTGGGCAAAAATGTGTTGAGAAGCAGGATATTTACAACTCTTAAAGCATCTCCTCATGGATTATTCACTAATTATAAGGAGGAAGAAAGTTACCTTTACAGTAGACAAATCTGAAACTCCACCTTAATCAAATGATCAAATTTAGCATCGCAGTAACAGGAGAAGGTAATATCATATACCTTCTGCTGTATTCCTGTCAAAAACATATAACTTGAATCCAAACATTAGGTCAACATCAAACAAACTCTAACTGAGGGACCTTCTAAAAAACAGCTGTTATCTACTCTTCAGAAACATCAATATTATGAAAGCCAAGGACAGACTGAGGAATTGAGAAAGAAGTATAACTTGAATCCAAACATTAGGTCAACATCAAACAAACTCTAACTGAGGGACCTTCTAAAAAACAGCTGTTATCTACTCTTCAGAAACATCAATATTATGAAAGCCAAGGACAGACTGAGGAATTGAGAAAGAAGGCTAAATAGACACGACAACTAAATGCACGGTATGGACTGGATCGTGGAACAGAAAAAATTTAAATATAGACTGTACATTAAATAATAATATTGTATTAATGCTAAATTTCTGGATTTTGAAATTTGTATTGTAGTCTTATAAGAGAATGTTCTTTTTAGGAAAAACATGATGAGCTATTTAGAGGTAAAAAGTCATAATGCCTGCAACTTACTCTGAAATGATTAAAAAAAAAAAGTGTGTGGTGTGTAACACATCACACACACAAACAGAGAAAGCAAATACGGTAACATAGTAGCAACTGGTGATTCCAAGTGAAGGGCTTTCATTTTAAAACTGTCCTATTAGAACTTTTCTGTAGCTTTGAAAGTTTTCACAGTGGAAAGCTGACAGTAAAAGTGGGAGCATCCTTTTGCTACCCCACTTAGCTTCCTCCCAACATCCTTCGAAATGGAGCTCAAAATCATGTGACCTCTCTATGATAAATGCTTTAGTTGTACAGCTTGAATGAATCATCTCATCCTCTGTATTCCCATATATTATATCATTATTTACTTAACACGTGATTACTAAATATCTATTATAGTTTGACTCTTTGGAAAGTGCTAGGATAAAGGTAAGAAAAGTTTCTCATCTTCATAGAACTTATCATTCATGCAGCAACAGACCTAAAATAATCTATTTTTATAGTGTATACATATTTACACTTATGGTATAGCTTCAGGGTGTGCCCTGGTCCATAAGGGGGCTAGAAACAAGGTGAATATCACAATGTTTGTTAATGATGTGTCTAATCAGATGATGAACAGCTCCACAGGGACTTGCATCTTGATGGGGGATTCAATGATGTCAAGGTTTCACATAAAATTCTTTGGTTTATAGTCCTCGGTTTCAGGGGTACTGGAGGTTCAATGACTTTGGGGATCAGTGGCTAGATCTGGAAGTCCTGGAGCTGATCCAGGAGTTGCACTCATTTTGGAATCTGGACCCAATGGATAGAAGATTCCATATCATCTTTTTTAATATGCTTAGACCACTACAAACGTAAGCCAGATAAAGATGCTTAATATGATACATGCCACATAATTGACTGTATTCTTATCAAAAATACTATTCCTGGGAAATAAAAGCAAAAATGAACAAGTAGGACTATATCAAGCTGAAAAGCTTCTGTACAGCAAAGGACACCACCAATAAAACAAAAAGGCATCCTACAGTGTGGGAGAATATCATACATGACAGATCCAATAAAGGGCTGACATCCAAAATATA